TCTTCTAAAGTTGTTGTACATTATCGGTTTATCTTTGGTGCTTTAAAGGGAGAGACCATGCGATTTCCCATGACATTTAGGGATTCTCTCAGAGAGCCTGTAAATTGCCAATTGCTTTATATTCTACCTGAAACTTGATATGAATGTTATCATTGACTTTCATTATCACGATTAACTGGTTTGGGACAATTTTCCACTCTGTTGGCTGCCTGCTTATGTATGTGTACCCATTAATATCCATCTATGTCTTCTATAGACAATTGTTTATTTTGCTCTTTTAATAATAGTGAGTCTTTCAGCTCACCAAAATTATAAATATTTGGAGGTATTTCCAAATTGTAGCAATTAATCAATACAGTAATCACTTGATTTGATTTCTTGAATTGATACCTAGTGCTTCATAGATGATTCTTGGAATAATGACTAGATAACAAAATTCACAATTTACAATATATTCTGTGAAGTGCTGTGAGATGTCTCAACAACGTGACAAGGAGCTGTATCAAATGCAAGGACTATTATCATTATTATACCATAAGACGTGTTTTAAAGTTGACCTTATAGATGCTTAATGGGATGGAAAGACCTAAACCAAAAATCTAAGGAAACAGGACAGGAGAGCACAGGTACAGGGCAGTAAGGGACACTTAGAGGACATAAATGAGTAAGTATTTATTTATACATGCAGAGGATAACCAATACTGTAGTTGGAACTGGTTACAGTGGAGGCGGGGTGTTAAAGCCTGGGATGCTGTTAGGAAAAAGGGTGATGCTGTGTAATGGAAAAAATGTAGGACAGGTATTCTTGAAACAAGAGGTCGCAATACCATACTTGTTATTGAAGTGCAGCATCAGATTAAACCAAACTGCTGTCGGGCTATTTGCATGTAGTTAAAGATCCCATCACTCTTTTCAAAAAGAGAAGGGAGTTTCTCCTTGTATTCTCGTCACCAATTCTCCAGATACATTTTCCAGTCACATTCTGAGACTTTGCTGGAACCATAACTGTTGTACCTGGACTGCAGACATTGCCACTCCTCTTGGCAGTAGCAGATTGTGAAGTACTGACCTTTTGAAACATTTCAACACGATAAAGTGCTGTTAAAGTGCTGTTAAAGTGCAAGCTCGTCATTCCTTACCACTCTCTGGCACAGCACGTTGAATGCTCCAGGTGCACAGCAGCGTCGCTCGTGGTTATTTTGCTGTTTAATTCACATTTAACGAATTAATAATATCAGCTCACACAAATGACAAGCGTTTGCACCGTTCTTCCACACCGCAGCCGTTAACTTATATCCCGTAGCAATCTCTAGTTCCACGGAATCTAATTCCCAATCGAATTTGGTTCAAGCCAACATCTTGGGGAGAGGTGAAAGTCAGATCGAAACTGAACGCGAAGGCATCTCCGCTGATTTGACTGATGTGTAAAGCTTTAGGACCACATCAGTCGGGGGAACAGGGTATCCGGGGCTGACTCTGGGTCACTGGGGTTTATCTTTGACCCAGAAGTCACGCCAGTAACTAACTATGGTGTTGGCAAGTTATTTTTCTCACTTATATTCTGCTTATCGATCACCACAGGATGATCTGTGCTCATTTTTATTTACCCCCTTCTGCAATATACACGTTAAGCCGTCGGCTTTCCTGGGGTGTGGGGACAGATGACCTGTTCACCAAAGTGCTGCGATGGTGATGCACAACAACGTGAGCATTGCACACCATGAGATTGCGTTGATCCACAATAACCAGAGAGTGCTCTGGATTCAGCTCATTCTGCTGAAGCCTCTCATATCTGCTCCTCTTTCTCTTGGGAAGGGACCGACCGACACCTGTAGAGTGCACAAGTGTTAGTTATATGTATCCCACTGTCTGTGTGTGTCTGTGTGTGTGTGTCGGTGTGTGTGTGTCTGTGTGTGTGTGTGTGTGTGTCTGTGTGTGTGTGTGTGGTGGGGGGGGGCTGTGTGTGTATGTGTCTGTGTGTGTGTCTGTGTGTGTGTCTGTGTCTGTCTGTGTGTCTGTGTGTGTCTGTGTGTGTGTGTGTGTCTGTGTCTGTGTGTGTGTGTGTCTGTGTGTGTGTCTGTGTGTCTGTGTGTGTGTGTCTGTGTGTGTGTGTGTCTGTGTGTGTGTGTGTGGTGGGGGGGGCTGTGTGTGTATGTGTCTGTGTGTGTGTCTGTGTGTGTGTCTGTGTGTGTCTGTGTGTCTGTGTGTGTCTGTGTGTGTGTGTGTGTCTGTGTCTGTGTGTGTCTGTGTGTGTGTCTGTGTGTCTGTGTGTGTGTGTCTGTGTGTGTGTGTGTCTGTGTGTGTGTGTGTGGTGGGGGGGGGGGCTGTGTGTGTGGGTGTGTGTGTGTCTGTGTGTGTGTGTGTGGTGGGGGGGGGCTGTGTGTGTATGTGTCTGTGTGTGTGTCTGTGTGTGTGTCTGTGTGTGTGTGTGTGTCTGTGTGTGTGTGTGGTGGGGGGGGGGCTGTGTGTGTGGGTGTGTGTGTGTGTGTGTGTCCGATGTCCCACAGGGCTCCGCCAGATGGTATCACTGGGGATGGGATGGGAACTGTTCAGCAATTCTCTGTTCGTGGCCTTTTCCGTAAAAGAAAAGTTCACAAAGTTCACCTTCACAGTGACTTCGCCGCCGCGATATGACCGAGTGGTGCAAACCCCCCACTCCCCCCCCCCCCCCCGGGGGCAGGTCCCCCCCCCCCCCCGGGGGCAGGTCCGTCCCCCCCCCCGGGGGCAGGTCCGTCCCCGTCCCCCCCCCCCCGGGGGCAGGTCCGTCCCCCCCCCCCCGGGGGCAGGTGTCCCCCCCCTCCCCGGGGCAGGTCCCCCCCCCCCCCCGGGGGCAGGTCTGACCCTCCGCCCGGACAGTGCGGGCGAGTGGATCGCCAACATGTGGCGGATCGGAAATAAGGCGAATGTCACCCCAACCGCATAGATATCACACACCACCGACACAGACACCCCTGGGGGGGGGGGGGGGGTCTGTCAGACATCACTGACTTTGGAGGGGGGGGGACTGGTGTGTGGGGGGGTGGGTGTGTGTGTGGTGTGTGTGTGTGGGGGGGTGTAGTGTGTGTGTGTGGGGGTGTAGTGTGTGTGTGGGTGTGTGTGTAGTGTGGGTGGGTGTGTGTGTAGTGTGTGTGTGGGGGGTGTTGTGTGTGTGTGTGTGGGGTGTTGTGTGTGTGTGTGGGGTGTTGTGTGTGTGTGTGTGTGGGGGGGGGTGTAGTGTGTGTGTGTGTGGTGTAGTGTGTGTGTGGGTGTGTGTGTAGTGTGGGTGGGTGTGTGTGTAGTGTGTGTGTGGGGGGTGTTGTGTGTGTGTGTGTGGGGTGTTGTGTGTGTGTGTGGGGTGTTGTGTGTGTGTGTGTGTGTGTGGGGTTGTAGTGTGTGTGTGGGGTGTTGTGTGTGTGTGTGGGGGGGGGGGTGTAGTGTGTGTGTGGGGTGTTGTGTGTGTGTGTGGGGTGTGTGTAGTGTGTGTGTGGGGGTGTGTGTGTGTGTGGGGGGGGTGTAGTGTGTGTGTGTGGTGTGTAGTGTGTGTGTGTGGGGTGTTGTGTGTAGTGTGTGTGTGGGGTGTTGTGTGTGTAGTGTGGGGTGTTGTGTGTGTGTGTGGGGTGTTGTGTGTGTGGTGTGTGGTGTGTGGGGGTGTGTGTGTGTGGGGGGGGGGTGTAGTGTGTGTGTGTGGTGTGTAGTGTGTGTGTGTGGGGTGTTGTGTGTAGTGTGTGTGTGGGGTGTTGTGTGTGTGGTGTGTGGGTGTGTGTGTGTGTGTGTGGGGTGTAGTGTGTGTGTGTGGTGTGGTGTGTGGGGCGGTATAAGTGACCCTGACCATAGTGGTCGGCACAGTAAAGGTGTGTGTGAGATGACGGATGACCGGAGCCACAAGTGGCGGTGATTGAAGCACTGAATGTGCTGCACTTTATGGTGTGTTGAGAGAGGGGCTCGTCCCCGCGTCAGGTGTGTGGGGGGTGTGGGGTATGTGTGTGGGGGTGTGTGGGGGTGTGTATGTGTGTGGTGTGTGTGGGGGGATGTGTGTGTGTATGTGTGTGTGGGTGTATGGGGTGTGTGTGAGTGTATGTGTGTGTGGGTGTGTGGGGGGT